ACCGATTTAGGATCTGCTTCCACACTGTAGTGCGCTTGGCTCCCGCGACACCGGGAAAAGACCGTGTCGATGGCGGACTCCATGGAATGTTCTTTGCGCCAGTTGATTATATGAAGCTTTTTCTCGTAGGTATGGTAGAGGTTTTTGTGCTTCTTGGGCATTCGCTTGATTTGCTTGGTACTAGGACGCCCAGTGCGTCGGCCATCGAGCTGAGTTGGCGCCATTATTGTTGCAACTTGCCGCCTTTCTGCAAATCAATGCAGGATTTATAAAGTTTCATGGGTATAGTTTACGAACGAGGTATTGTAGAAAATAATATATTGACTGAATAAGTATTTACAGGTTTTTTCTCTTCGCAACTGACATGTCAACTAAAGTAGGGTACCGTTAACTGTAAGTTGACTTCACAGTAATTACCTTAACAAGGAAGTTCCTTCTCCATAACGTTATCGCGCCGACTGTAGCGCCAACGAAGGGTACTAGGAACCCTCGAAGACGAAAAAGGTCACAAATGAGCTGTAAATACGTTAACAGGCGTTTCTTTATTTAATCCACCCGTCGTCGGAATCAATGAGCAACGCACCCGCCTTACTGAACTGGTAATTTACAAACTTCATTTAACGACAGTTAGTTCGCGATGCCGAACCACTTTGATTGGAGCAAAACCCGCTTTGATTGGAACGAGATTTTACCCAAACCACTTGATTGGAAAAAATGTTCCTCTGACATCGGGAAAGGATGTATAATCGTCATGATATTTCATTGGCTTACAGATAGTACGAAAAACAAGCCAATCAGCCTCAAGTAATCTCATTCTGATACGAATTCTCAAATATCTCACCGCTACGTAGTACCACTCCGTCCCAAATCACTGACACGTTTGGACATTATGTCCAAAACTCATACTACAAACAGAATATGTCTGAAAACTATGGGAGGCTCAACTACGACGATAAATAAGTAAGTAGTAACTTGCTCCAACCGTCAAATTAACTCCGGCAGCAGAGCAACGGGCTCACCTACAGTACTGTAGTCCAAACTACTCTTCTCATTAAAGTAGCTTTTAAGCTCGCGTTTGTAAGCGTCAAAAATTGTCTTTTGTTTTTAACTATGGTGAAATTTCAAATGACGTCGTTTTTCAAATGAAATCTGATTTGCCTGATGGTGATCGCTGGACAAATGGCCCAGATTGCCATATTTATACGGCAACCTGTGAAGAACGGACTCAATAGCTTAAAAACGCGAAATGAGGTCTGAATAACGGACGAACCCACTGAATGCGTGTCGTTTTGTATTCATTTTGAAGCTGACAGCTGTGCAACCTTGCGCTACATACCGGTATTACAGATACTACTGTGCGCTTTAATCCAATCACGTGCTTTTCCTATTATCACATTTTTAACCAATCATATGCAAGATACCTTTTACCGGAAAAGCGGCCCTGGCAGAAATGCAACTCGACCTTGCAAATAGTAGTATTTCACATTTTCAACCAATCAAACTCAAGATATTTTACCGGAAAAGCTACCCTCGCAGAAATGCAACTCGTTTATTTAAATAACCAATTGCGGATTTACAATGTCGGAAGAAGTAGTGCTCCGTAAGTCGGACGGCTTGTTCTACATCACGTCAATGAGCG